CCAACTGAAATAATTCCAGTCCTTCCGCTCATTCTTGTTTCTGTCAGTCCTGAAGAAGAAAGGTTGCAGAGACGAGCGATTGATACGATTGACGCTGCTACAGCTTTGCGAATAACTCAAAGATAATTATTCACATATATTAACAGAGTAAATAAGATGAATAAGATATTTTTTAGTAAAACGTAACAACGACAGCTGGGCATTGAGGCACCGTACACTGTCTGTATCTGCATCTATGAAAACACACAAAACCACAAAACTGCACTTAATTATGATCATACAAAAATAAGTACTCGGGATGACAGATGAGACGATTTCGCCCATACGGATATGCTGTCCAAAACTAGAGAAGTATTTAGCGGCAATGTGCACCATTAACACACACCATGATAACGTGCGCTGTCAAAATTAACCAATCGCGTAACTGCATTTCGCTTTAAAAGTTGCGCTGGCTAACATTAAATAATGGTCCAAAGGTGTAAGATAGAACGGTAACACGGCAAAATTAAACTCTAACGTCTAATTCAGCAAGAAACAATAATAAAAAGCAGAGCGTTTAAAGCCTAGAAAATCTTTCCTAACATATAAAGAGCTCAAAAAACTGAGAAGGTGTTTTTTCTCTAACCTACAATCATGTGCCGCTAATATGTAATAACGAAATTATACACCATTGCCCCATTGTTGTCATTATTATTGTACGTTTAAGAACGAACACCGTTTTGAGTTCTGAAAGCTCCGCATATATAAGCTAATATTTTGGCCAGGCTTTAAACCGTGTATGTTACTGATTAGTATCTTATTCATTCATTTAATACTTAGCATCCAATTTAAAGAAAATAATTACTTTTTAATCCACTGCAAAACCAGTTCGTAAAACGAAGTCACTTGGTCATGATACTTGCCGCAGAGACGCTCTTCGCCACCGTCACTCAGATAATCCAATGACTGTGCCATTCGATGAAGTATGTCTACCAATTTTTGTACAAAACAGAACCAATCGTCTGTTCGTTCGTACAGCTCCGTCGTCAAAGACACTGGAAAACCGAAGAAATGCACCGCATCTGACAATTCTTCCGGTTCATCGAAATCAAGAAACCTGCAGTAAAAGTGAATAAGCAAAAATCACTGGCCCGTAGACAGTGCAAACATCACAAATTAATAAAACTTTTATTTTTTAAAATATTTCGCTTTCCTGTCTAACTGAATCATCTAAAAGAAAGGAAAAAAAGTTTGCAACCCATCGGATATCTGTCTCCGTATATTTCCATGATGTGCAGCAACTTTATTTTCATAGGACTCGTAGTGTGCGTCGATCTCTGTTACGATGCTATCGACAAAAAGTTTACTATTTTTTGAAGGCAATGTCTAAAACCTGGTGGAGAGTACAGGTATCGTGCCCTACTTCCTTTCCACCTTCATTTATGCACCTCTGAAGGA